ACCCATCGACATTATCCGGACAAAAGCCAGATCCAGAAGAGTCCGGATCAATGTGGGTGGGCTGGTCCATGAGGTGCTATGGAGAACCCTGGACCGACTGCCACGAACCCGTCTGGGGAAACTCAGAGACTGCAATACCCATGAAACCTTAATGGAGATCTGTGACGACTACAGTCTAAATGATAATGAGTATTTCTTTGACAGGCACCCAGGTGCCTTTTCCTCCATTTTAAACTTTTACCGGACTGGCAAGCTACACATGATGGAAGAGATGTGCGCTCTGTCTTTTGGTCAGGAGCTTGACTACTGGGGCATCGATGAGATCTATCTGGAGTCGTGTTGCCAGGCACGGTACCATCAGAAGAAGGAGCAGATGAATGAAGAGCTGAGGAGAGAGGCTGAAACTCTCAGGGAGAAGGAAGGAGATCAGGTGGACACGGGCTGCTGTCCAGACAAAAGGCAGAAGCTCTGGGATTTGCTGGAGAAACCAAGCTCTTCTGTAGCTGCCAAGGTAGGGCAACCACATGGCCCACACATACACAATGCAAAATATCAGAGTATATCCACACTAATTATCTAATTATTGGCCACACTAATTATTAATTTAGGACATTTCCACTTAGGATGTTCCATTTGAGCATCTGAGAGAACATTAGATCAACAAAGCAGCACTATTTAAAAAAATACAGAAGAGGGTTAGCCCAAATATTCAGTTTGAAATTAATTATTAATTTGCCTTACAATGACTAGGGGCAAATTCAAGGGTAAAGTTTGGACTGCAAAATTCTGAGACTGACGCCAGCAGCGTTATGATGATATATGAAACCCAAAGAAGAATTTATAAATACACACATATCCCATATGCATTTCCCCGGCTATCGTGATTGACATATTAGCCTAGGCTTTTATGCCACAAAAGAAGAGGCATATTTTTTGTGGTATATAGCTTGCTGGAGGGAAGATTTATGGTCCTGTATGTGAGTGTGAAACTATTTTGGCTGTATTTTCCATCCGAGATGTTTGCTATTGCTCTTTATTTTGCAGATGCAGTGAGATTCTGCATGGATGACTGATATGCGCACGCGTTACTTACCGTATTGGCCCGAATATAAGACGACCCTGATTATAAGACGACCCATCTTTTTCCAGATGTACCTTTTGGAAAAAGGCTTTTTAAAAACCAAATCTTGTTTTTTCTCAGTAAAACACATTTTGTCTTCAATTATTTTCATATTTTCCAACACGCATTACATTACGTATTTCATGGCACACTCGTTTTATGCGTATTTGGCGCCACCTATTGTTGTGGGTGTATTATTGACATGTCAAAGTCTAGACCCTGAATATAAGACGACCGCGTTTTTTCAGATGTATTTCCAAGAAAAAAACATCGTCTTATATTCGGGTCAATACGGTAATTAAGAATGAGTCAATAAAACAAAGACACCATCTTGGTCTGTTAAATGTAAAGATGGTGCTTTAAATATCTCTCATTGCAGATTTAAGTAAGTTTTGACTAATTATATTTTCTTACACATTAGTAGATTGTCCCGGTAGAAGGTTGTTGAGAATATTAAAATGCTTTTTCACAGCTGCTCAGGAGCTTTGTCTGCACTCACTGCCCAGTCCCAATACACAGATCGCCTACTTCCCAGAATACAGACAGGGAAAGCAGTCAGAAGAGCCATTAGTGAAATGCTTTAATGTACAGGATTTTTTTTCTTGCCCTTTGGCTCTCGAGAAAAGAAACTTTCCAAGGGGTAAATAAAAGCATTTTAAATGAACTAGGTTTGATAAAACTCACTAGAATCGTGAACAAGATTGCATTTTGCATTGTAATAATAGTAACGATGTCAGCATTTTAATTATGATAACTAGCATTCTCATTAAGTTGATCATGTGTCAATTGATTATAGATTATATTTTAACTTTTTTATATTTTTTACGTTTTAAATATATATTAACTTTGATGCCACACAAAATGTAATGTTCAACATTTGGAGCAGAATTGGTTCTGCCACACTGAACTCAGTGTAACTGAAAGTTTTGAGGAGAGAAAGGACAGATGGTAATACTCATAAACATTCCCACTAGCTGGCTCAGTGAACTCTAAGAATCAAATTAAACTTCATCCACATGTTTTCTTGGGCATATTTGTCAACAACTGTTACCTGAGCAGAAAGGACAAGGTACAGCTTCTCACTCTGATTCATTGTGTTTAACAGATTTACGTTAGCATTATGTGTGGTAGTGGGACTGGGCAGGTGGACTGGCACATTCTGCACTCAGAGAGGAAGATGAAGGTTGAGTCACTGCCACTATGATTTGTTGCCAGTCAATCGTTTGAGTGAGTCAGCACAAACACACAGCATCCATTCAGCCTACACCTATCGGCTATAATGTCTGCTCTGACAGGCCAGAAGCAGCTTTGTATTAACCGAAACCACCTTCAACTTAGTTCAGTTTATCATATCACCGCTGTTCACTGCAGGGAGGTTTGAGATGGAAGAAAACTGGCAGGATTGCAACAAGCCTATTTAGATGGTAAGGTTGACGTGTGCTCACAATGTATAACCGTATATTAAATTACAAAGCAGTTCCCTTCAGTAAACCCCACTTTACTGTCTGGTAATAAATGTAACTCTGAATTTTTGCATGCTTGGATCTGGGTTTTAGGGAGGACAGAGCAAATCTCTTTACATTGCAGGGGTCCAGTCATAAATAATCGCATATGAGCTGCAAGATTAATGACAAATGGTTCCTAACCTTGACCTCCACCTTCACTTCTGTGGGTTCAATGGTTTGGTTATTGGACACTGCCTTTTGAGCAGGAAATGACTGTGGGTTACTGAGGAGGTATTTCCCAATGCAAGTTGATGGCATATTGCGGCAGAATATTGCCAGTAATATTTTACTTTGATGCATGAGAAGTTTCAGTATATTCCCATTATATATATTTACAGCCAACAGACAAAATATTTTTTTAGTATAAATTATAATATATATAAAAACATATAGTACATAAAAATATAGTCTAACAGCACAGTTTTAGTTTAAAAATGTCAAAATATAGTACAAAATGTACTTTGAGGCGCAAGAAAATATGTCCAATTGTAAAATATGTTTGGGGTAAATTCAAAATGTAATTATTAAATATGTTTTAGGCAAACATATATTGTTTAAAAAAAGCCAAAAATGAAGAAAAATTAGTAGCTAAAGCTAAAAACTAAATGTAGGCAGTGCGGAGTTCATTAAATTATTGTATAATAATAATAGAATTTATAATAATATAATATTTAATAATAATATATATAATATAATATAATATTTAATATAATATAAATTATTACCAGACAATGTGTTTATCCTTTTAAGTACTAGCAAATAAGCTTTTAAGTTTTCTTTCATGCTATAAAAGGGAAGATAAATTTGCAACTGGACAGTTGCTGGGTTGTTGAAAAGATAAAGCGAACAGTGCCTAGTTTAGCGGTCAGCATATACTGCTCTGTGAGGCAATGGAGACTTAATCTCCTTTGGTGATTTACCTAGTCTGCTCCTACAAATAGACTGCTGAGGGCCCTGGCTTGTCTGGCTTATGGCTACAGTGTGTAATGTGGCCACGTGTTTCACCAGAGTAGTTAATCAATTAGTGAAGGCAGTTTTCCACCCTGCGGAAGTTATTAAGTGCGGCAGGGGACACTGAGTTTTTCGCATTGTTTCCACTATTTCAAAATGCCAAGAAGAGCTTTGTGAATCACCTGGGTAGATGAATTTATTTAATGAACATTTTAACCAGCCATTTACTTGTCTTAAAGAAAAAAAAAATTGTGGTGTCTCCATGTTTTGATGTGCTGGCTGAGGAGTGAGGTATCTGATGTATTTGGGTTTTTCCTTCTTGTTTAACTGTCCAGTTTCCCATTGACTCTGCTTATCTCAGAGGACTTGTGTGGTGTACGTCCTTTCAAAAGGTCAGAGGACTCTAACCCTTTCCATCACATGGCCAGGCCGAGCTCCTTCTAAGAGCTCGTCTGTCACATCACCTTCATTTGTGCTGTAAACATCTTGAGCCTTTAGTAAGCAATGCAAAGAGACATCATGATACAGAATAAGAATGGATGAAGGTAATTAGTACCTCAGGAACTGATTTTGGTTGAATTTGTACTGTCTTCCTCTCATGGTCCTCTCATTTTAGATGTTTTGATAATTTCATTTGGTATTCAAACCAATATTTTCTAGTCTTGGCTAAAAAGAAGAAAAAAAATGTGCTACTGAAAATATGAAATTAAGTGACTTAGATCAGCCTTTTACAAAGTAAATATGTCTATTCTTCTCCATGAGGCCCAACGAGATCCTGTGGAGCATCTCTCTTTTGAGTGACACTTTTATATACATGACTAACTATGATCAAAATGCTTAAATAAATACATTTAAGATATAAGATATTCTAAAATGCAAATATATTAATTCGAAACTTCACATAAAATACAATAAAAATCTTAACTAAACACATTTTTTAAGATTAGTTCATTTATTTAATCATATGATTTTAAAAATTGTTTTCATAAAGCAGTTAAAATAATGCATGATATATTGTGCATAAATATATATATTTTTTTCATATAAATTGCAATTTAAAAATAAATCTCAAATATATTTTTACTGAAGACATTTATAGCATTTTTATGAATCTCGAAAAGCTATAAGAGCTTTACTTGATATTGAGAGACATCTTGTCAGGTATCATAATCTGTAAAGAGGTGTTCACTGCAGATTGTTTTGATGAGATCACTGTTCCTCTGAAATGTCTGTGGTGTGAATAATTTATGTGTATTTACAGTAATTGATCATGACATGATAGTCTGTGCTCTCAGCTCTGTGGACAGATCGGAAATTCTCTGCACCAAGTGCATGGATGGGGAAAGGGGGAGAAAGGGAAAAAGAAGGAAAAGCTCTTTGCCTGTGGAGGTTCTGTTACTAAATAAAGAGGCCTGGGTTCTGGCTGAGGAGATACCCGGTGAATTCCCCTCTCAGCCATCACTTCAAGAGCCATGGAGGTCAACAGACAAAGTAGATGTGAAGATGAGTAAAGGTTACATCCACTTCTCTTTTAAGAGTATGTTAGATCCTATTAACTATAGTGAGATTGCATTAATCATTTTAAAACAATTCACCTTTTGTCTACTTCAGTAAAGGCATCATTTCTCAATGTACTTTCAGAGTGAGGATGGTAAATCGATCTCCTTTTATGTTTATTATGGACTAAGCAGAACTATGTTCATGTGAATAATGTGCTGTAAGGAGACAGATGAATGTTTAATGTGGTATATGCTTTCAATTTAATTTTATTATATTTTAAATGAGTTAATGGTATTAATTACATTTACAATTACAACAGTTTTTCAACACAATGGAGCACTTCATCTTAAAATAGATTATTAAAAATACAATATATATATATATATATACATAACAAGTCTATATATGTTCATAGATTTTGACAAAATCAAGAAA